CTTCGGTGGGGGAGAATTCGCGTGTTTCCACTGTTAGCTCTTCCGTTTGCTCTCGGGTTCAAAATGGTGGCACCAAGTTTCGTCGCCAGTGGCAATACGGGACAGAAAAGCATACCCTTCCTCATGGTATCGTTGTAAGTGACCCAGTGATGCAGTCATTCTCTGAGTCTTCTGTTCCTCCATGAGTTGATGTGGAACCCACTGCGCGCAGATTTTGCGGTACGGCAGGTGTTTTGTCCAGTGGCGTGTACGGAACCGCGACTTATTCCAATCAAAAGACTAATTTCTTCCACAGTGATCCGTCGGTTTGCCAGGATATGACCACCCAACGCAGCAATAACATCAGGAGTGATGACACGATGAGCCTGTCCTGGGCGAGCATCATTTTGCAGTGACACACGTCCCTCTCGGAATTTCTTACGCCACGCCAGCACACGCGAACGTGACATGCTGTGTTCGCCGTAAACAACAGACATGCGACGATGAATTTCTCGTCGTCCTACTCCTTCAGAAGTCAAAAAGCGCACTACACTTCGCTGTCCTTCTTTACCCTCCTCCATTATTGAGGTTGGACGACCACACGTAGCGCTAGCCTTACTTCCAGCACAATAAACAAACGACTAGTGTGCAAGGGCACGTTGTCACTGTGCTTTCCAGAGTCCCTACCAGATGTTCGTACCGTAAGCAAATTCCAGTGTTACCAACTTGGCCGCCGTGTGAATTATGCGTGGTGACCTGTTTTCATTTGACTGCCCCTTATAATTAAAATCTACCAAGTTTTTTTAAAACAAATTTCGGCATGGGGTATTTATATTGTGACATGTAGACCCATTTCGAAGCAGCGCCTGAAATACACGCGCTCAACAATAGAAAAGATATTGCAAGAAATGCTTTCTGTGTAGTCCGTGCAATGCCAATTAGTAGGCAACGGGTCGCTAAACACATTCCCGCGACGAGTGCTTCCGTTGCTATGCAGCGCGCTGTACATATAACAGTAGAGGAAGAGGTGTTTTCTGTGTGTTCATATATATTCATTGCTGGGCAACGGATGTGTTTTCTATGGAACCGCCTCGAGACTATAAGTAGTCCAGTCGTAAAACAGAAGTCAGTCGCAGAACGAGAATGAGAATGGAACGAGTCCTCGGCCGTCGAGGAAGAAGAGTTCGGCTGAAGATTGGTTGTGAGTTATTGTAATTGATTGTGATTAAGAGAGGCTGTAAAAGGTGTTCATAAATCTAGTCCAAAACCCGATATTATTAGTCACGGAGCGATAAACACATGAGAATATTTGACAGAATTCAGTTCATAGTATGTATCTATGAGGGGTAGACCTTCTCGGCCTTTGCACCGCGACCTACCGTGGTCTGTTATGCTTCAGTTCATAGTAAGTGACCACTTTCTGCAGTGGCCTGCGTGTCTGTGCTGGTTAATATGTTTAGCGGCGACATTTCTGACACAGATGTGGTTTTATAATGTTAATTATCTTTGTAGCAATTTATTTATGGATATTGGGTAAACAAAAATACGGAAACAGCGCAATATTTTCTTATCTTGTCCGATTCGGGGTTTCTGTAGCTTTTTGGTGCTTTTTTTTTGTCCCGTTGGATGCCAGTAAAAAGTTCCTTTAAATTTGATTTTTATTCCCCTGCATTTCTAAACTGACTTTCCGCCAAACGCCATGGAGTTCCCTGTTTCTGAAAGTGTAATGATACCTGAATGCCAGATTCAAGTTGTTACGGTCCATAAGACGAGAGTGACCTCGAGACTGTGCGCGCAGTATGACATCTGAGACGGGGCTACCGCACATATCACCAGTCGTGACTTTCTTCGCATAAATTTAACAAAATTGGCGAGTACTGTTTTTAAAAAACTTGCCCGAAACCCTATTTTCCAGCCACTGATATAGCAGAGCTGCCCGGAACTCGAAAATATCGCCCCCCAGAACTCTATGCCCCCAATGTGATAACATACGGGCATTCAACTGATTTGACTTATTGATGATGCATCGCTCAACCTGACCGGTCTGTGGCTACAGCCTGTTTCTAACGACTGCAAACCTTCAACTGGCCGAGACTAACGGGACTAATTGGGACACTGAGACGACCTTCCTTCTTAACCCGGTACAGGGCTTTTATATATAATCTAACGTACCTCTGATAATCATACTGCCACGTGTAGGTTGGTACGCTTGACGAAAATAACGGGTTCTAGTTCGGATGAAATTGCAAATTTTCTTACTCACACTTAAGTACAGAGCTATCACCGATTTACATGTTTTCCACTTCCCTGCTGCACACGAATTAGGATTTCCAGTCTTCATTAGTCGTTTTCTGGCAACGGATCTAAACACATAAACTATCACTAGGAAGTCTTCTTGCCTTCTACGAACTTCCATGGCTGTCTTCTACCGAGAACTCAGAACTGACTGACTCATAGCACCGATTGTCTTTAAGATAACTCCTTTGCATAGAATCCATGGAAAATACCGTCTTCCATGTTTGTGGATGCATGTTTACTGCTTCATTGCCTGGCAGTAGACCTCCTACAGCGCATTGCGTCCACCCGACTCGGACTGCATAGAAAACACAATTTACCTTCTGTTGTTGCTTGTATTCGTGTTTACAGAGCTGTTGCCTGGCAACGTGTTGCTCAAATTCGTTACCTTAACATAGATTCCACTGAACTAGTCCAGTATCCGACATATGCAGCTATTATGTGTTTAGATATTCTCTTTGACACAACATATTGCGTTGAAGCAGCGATTAATGCAATACCATCGAATTCCGGGATGTTAAGTAGTGAATGATGAATTGGAAATGATGCGGAAGGAACTTATTATGGCCTAATTTAAGGTACTACCCACGCATTTGCGTGTAGGAACGAATATTCTGAAGCACACTAAACGGCCGTTTATTGGAATTCAGTAGGAGTCTTTCACAGCTGAGTCTATCTATGGCTCAACAGCCTTTGTGGACCTTGTCCGCTTTTTCGGTTTCTTAATCTATACACAGTCGGTAGGACTTCTTTGACGGGGGATCAGCCCGTCGAACGTTTTCTACCAGAACACAGGACAACACAAACAGAATAAACGCACACAGACATCCATGGCTCTAGTGGAATTCGAACTCACGATCTCAATGTTCGAGCCGGGAAAGACATTTCATGCCTTAGACCGCGCGGCCACTGTGGTCGGCCTTACAGCTGAATTGTCATTAAATATTTAGTTCGGAAATACTTTTACCTGCATCGAAATGAATATGTTTCTTATACTCAATACAAGAACTTTTCTAGATGGGGCACTTCAGTTTTCAAAACCGAGTAACAATCTGTATGTTCGGTTACTTAATAGGCTACTAACGTGGAATATTGAACCCTGCGGAAAGTGTTCTTGTTAAACGCTGTATGGTGAAATAATAAGTGTCTTTCCGTTTACACAAAGTAGATAAAATACAGAACCATTATAGCCTTCACTCGTCTTTTATGATGTTATAAAACTTCATTGCTTAATAGTATGTCAGCGTTACAATATCTTCTTTCATTTTATTATGCAGAATACAATTTATAACACATTGAGGTTTGTCAGAAATTGTGGCAGAACGTTCTTGGACCGCTCGAACACTGGAGTCGAAGGTTCGTATCCTGGTCTAGGTGTGCCCACGTTCTTTGTTGTGTTCTGTATAGATGAAGTCTTTTGCCCCCTTTTATAGTCCTACCAAGTGCTTAAGGGATTCATCATTTGAGAAGCCAATCGTGGAATATCACAGGCTAGAAGGTTGTAACGTGTGGCAGCCGATGATGAAGATTCCTATATTCTATTTTCTCCCGCTTCGTCGTGTTCTCCTTATTTTTCTACTCCTGCCCTTATCCTACTACGCCTCCTCCTTATTCTCCTCTCCTCCTGCTACCCGTCGTCCTCCTGCTGTTCTGCTACCCGTGTTACCCATCCTCCCGTTACCGATCGTTCTGCTACGCCTCCTCTTGCTACCCGTCCGTCTGTTACCCTTTCTCCTGCTACGCCACCTCCTGCTACCCGTCCTTCTCCTGCTCTACTCCTGCTACGACTCCTCTTGCTAGGCATTCTGATCCTGCTACTCATCCTCTTCCTGTTCTCCTGCTGTTCCTCCTGTTAGCCGTCCTCCTGCTGTTCTCCTCGCTACCCGTCCTGCTCTTTTCCTCCTGCTGCATCTCCTCCTGTTACCCGTCCTCTTTCTCTTCTCCTGCTACCCGTCCTACTGCTTTTCTCCTCGTGCTACGCCTCATCCTGCTACCAGTCCTGCTGCTCTTCTCGTGCTACGCCTCCTGATCCTGCTACCCTTCCTACTGTTCTCCTCGTGCTACGCCTCCTCCTGCTATCCGTCCTACTGCTCTTCTCGTGCTACACGTTCTACTGTCCTCCTCCTGCTACCCCCCTCATACTACTACCCGTCCATACTGTTCTCGTGCTACCCGACCTACTGCTGTTCTCGTGCTACGCCTCCTGCTCCTGCTACCCGTCCTACCGCTCTTCTCGTGCTACACGTCCTACTGTTCTCCTCGTGCTACGCCTCCTCCTGCTATCCGTCCTACTGCTCTTCTCCTGCTACCCGTCCTACTGCTCTTCTCGTGCTACACGTTCTACTGTCCTTCTCCTCGTGCTACCCTCCTCCTACTACTACCCGTCCTTACTGTTCTCGTGCTACCCGACCTACTGCTCTTCTCGTGCTACGCCTCTTCCTCCTGCTACCCGTTCCCCTCCGCGTCTCGCCTGCCACGTAACACGATACGTTCATGGCCCGTTGTGTGAACCCCTTAATAAAACGGGATGTAGGGTTCTTTCATTGCAAGATCAGATTTTCGGTATCACAGGACAACATGATGAAATTCGAACCGCAGATCGCGCGGCCACCGGGAGCAACACTTTAAATTTTAAACTCTGTAACTTTTATTTCATTGCAGCGTTCACTTCTTAAGTTCGTCTGAGTTGAAATTTTGTAATCAGCTTTGTATTTCTTTTGTTGCAGGACCGCTGGGTTGCACAACGCAGGCTTGCCGACCAATACGCAATGAGAAGAGCCGTGGTTTAATTCCTTCATTTTATTATGAGATTTCTACAAACGTTTAGAACTTCCATTTTATAGTGGTTGGTTATCTTTGGATGGGACTGTGTCAACAAATACAAGGCCTCCAACAAGTCCGTCTGCTCTGCTAAGTGCTTTTTTGTGTACTGCTTTATCAGCTGGTATAACTTTGGAGATTTATACGCAGCCCCAGATAACAGTACCGGCATTGTGGTAACCGAAATATTTTATAAATTGGTCTATGTACTGATATAAGTGCCAGTCGTGTCTAGTGAAACGGACGTTAGTGCTTTTAAGTGAAGCGTAATTATGTTTTATGATTTTTTAGTGCTTAGTACATGGACGAAACGATAGTGCTCGACGTAAATAATGGATTCCATGCGTTTGTGTGTTCAGTGTAATTGGACGTACACATTCCAGTGAACAAGGAACAATACCATTCAAGCTGTCATGGGAGGGATGTACAAAGAATTTACTGTAGTGGTTCTGTTGGCTTGTCTTCTGGGATCTTCAGTTTACGGTAAGCGAACGACTTTATTGGCTACGTATAACATGCAGCTGACAAAAATTCAGCGCTATTGGTAATTAGTGTAAAGACGCGTCTACATTACTCGTGCTCGGGTGACTCGCTATGCTCGCGAGTAATGTGGACAATATGACAAGTCACGAGACAAGCAAATTTTAAGCCGATACATTAAAATACGACTACAGCCTATACACACTACGATACGGATCCTCACGCGCCGAAGCCTGGAGAGCAACTGAAGTAGTGTGGACGAAGATTTACGAGCACAAGTAAAATTCAGACGAGTCTCCCGACGAGCACGAGTAATGTGGACGCGCCTTAAGCCTATACATGGCCTTCCCCATATGTGTGCGTATTGGTAAGTGTGTTTATTCTCTTAGGTACGTAACAGGCTCAGAATATTCTGAGAAAATGAAGAGTTCATACAAGAGTGAGTTTAATTTCTTGGTGATTTCTGAAAGGAAAAGTCGTACTTTCCCGTTTTACTTCACCGTTTTGTAATTGCTAAAGTAACTTGGAGTCCTTATGAAACTTCACACGACGGTTGATTGACGACTTTTATATCCGAAATTTCGTCGAAATCGAATTAATTCGAGTACTGGAGAATTTGACGGAAGGACATATTGTCTAGAAAGTGTTCTTTATATGTGTATACAACTAAACGATAACTGAAAATTCTTTTCTCCGCACATTCGTATCGTGTGTGCGTGAGTTTCTGGTGTAGAAAACCTAGATTAACAGCTGTGGGAATCCGTTGCGCTGACCACGCGACACCCTATATCCGCAAAATTTGGCCCCAGCTTCGCCGACAAGCGGCCGTCGCTCGGTCGGTAAAGTTCGCTTGCGGACTGAAAGCCACGGAGTTTTTTCTATGTACATGAGTTAGTGTGTCTCACATGTAGAGAAGGATGAAGTGTCTGTGATCCACTTTACTGGAGGAACTTCAGCCTCCATCTTTGTGGCTCTTTATGCCTCTACTTCTTTACCCCCTGGTGCCTGGATGGGTCACATTTTCGGTCTGTACGTTGAGAATTTTTCCTGAATCTAATCCAGACCGTCCAGCTCGTAACTCACGTCACTGACTGAGCTGCCACATCATGCACACATTTCCAGAATGTTTCCCGAATATCGCCGGATCACATGCAGATGGAATGAGCACGTGGTATGGGCTGGTCGGTCATGGTTAGATTCCCGACAAAGGCAAGAGATTTTCTCTTTTCCGCAGTGTCTAGACCGGCTTAGGGACCCACCAAGCATGCGGATGGATGTCTAAATTAAGCCACCATGTAAAAAAGACTCCGTGGCCTGTAGTCCACAAGCGAACTATGCCGACCGAGCGACCGCCGCTTGTCGGCGAAGTTAGAGCCAATTTTTGCGGATAGTGGGTGTCGCGTGGTCAGCGCAACGAACCCCCACGGCCGTTAATTTCGGTTTTCTAGACCGGAGCCGCTACTTGCTTGAAATAGCTCCTCAATTATCATCACGAGGCCGAGTGGACCCCGTTCCAGACCCACCACTTTTCAGAGAAAATCTGGTAGCACCGGGAATCGAACCCGGACCGCTGGATCAGTAGCCAGAAACGCTGACCACTAGACCACAGAGGCGGTCAAGCCACCATGTATGGTGTGTTTAATGCAGTGAAGGCCCCTCAGCGCTTCTATACAACACATGTGCTACATCGACAGAATATTGCAAAGCATGAGTTTGGCTGCCTCGCAGCGTTGGAATTTCGTGACAAGGAAAGTTTGAATGAAATGTATTTTGTGAACTGTTTTAAGAAATTGTTGCGCATTCTTTTTATAGCAAAGTTTATATGCATATCATAAACCATGCAGGTGAATGGGCGGTGTGAAGTTCACCCACTGAAGTTAAGATGTTAAATTAAGACAGGTTTATTTGTAAAAGCACGATCGATTATTTTGCAGTGTTATTAAGCGCATTTTGTGTTTCATGAATGTTTCATGAATGTGTGTGACAGAATGTTACACCGTTTCCTAATTAGTAGAGGTAAACGTGAAGTCCCTTGCATAATTAATTAAGCCTCACACTATGAAAATATTATGACGTAATTGAGTGACTATAGACAGGTTTTGGATTTATGATCGGATTTATTGGACTCTTACACTGCGCGTGACTACACTTTACGGTGTACAGTTTTACACACACACACACACACACACACACACACTGTTGCCCACAGTCACGTTTTCACAGCCGTTGCTTGATAACGGCTTTCAATGGTGGACGTTCCCTTTCTTCTGGGTTCCCGAACGGTCCACGGTCTCAGCTACCAGCTTCTAACTACAACAACTCACAATGACTGAGCCCCAGCAGCCTTCTAGCTAACTCACCAACTAATTTAGCGGTCGGTCGGTTGCTTAAATTGCTCTCAGAGTTAAGTTACTTTACGACTGGCGGTTTACCGCTAATAATTTTATCTTTGAGCCAAGCCGATTGAGACTCACGACCAGAGATATTTTTTTTTTTTGCAACCGATCTCTTGCGGCCATAGTCCTTACGTAACGTGTTTTGTTTTTGTTTCAGACAGGACTTATATATAGCTCAAAGTCAAGAATTTTCAGTAACATGCTATATGTGTGGTACATACACTTGACAAAGCCAAGCATATTCATAAGAGACAAATCCATCCTCTCGTCTTAGATGATGTTACATAAAGACTATGACCGCAACGGTTCAGTTGGGAGCGGGGGAATCTCTGTTCATGAGCCGAAAAGGGCTTCGCACAAAGACGAACTGATTGGCGGTAAACCGCTAGTCGTAAAATAACTATGACTCTTGAGAAATTATCATTTATATCGGACAGACTTCTTCCCTGGAAGGAAAGACATTCCCCGTGACCATGTAGACACACGTATGCTATATGTACGGCATGTACACTTGAAAAAGGTGAAGCCTATTCATAGAAGAAAACCCCATCCTCTCGTCAGAGATGTAATTACGAGTTGACTGTATAAGCACAATAAATCCAATCCAAGTCCCGCCTGATAGTCACCCCTATACGTGATAACAGTTGTCAGAAGTGAGACTGGATTGAGGACTGCACCGGAAAGTAGTATCATCTACAAAAATGGAACAAATGACCATCTCAGAAGAGTTCGAGACCGAGATGATGGCCGAGCTGTATTCCCTAGCCTTCAAGATATACACCAGTCAAGCAGAAATGAAAGCCATGCAACAAAATATGGACGCCAATCAAAAGGAAATAAATAGAGGACAAAAATGAACCAAGAAAGGGTGAACGCCAAGATAGAGGTCAATCAGAAGATGAGAACCAGTCAAGAAGAAATTAAAGCCACGATGAACAGATATCAAGAGAAGATGACTGCCTGTTTAGCAGACATAAGGGCCTGGCGAAATGAGACTACGGTCCGCCGAAAAAAAAAAGTCTGTTTGTAGATTTAGGAGCCAGCCTCGGTGGAGGTAGAGGTAAGAGTCCGAGTCGGAGCATCCGAAAGTCCCAAAGGAAGAGGCCACATGAAATATTTTGGAGCACTGGAGGACCGGTATGGGGACCGGCATCTAGCCGTAGGGCGCCTCCGAAAGCCGAAGAACCGGATCCAGGGGATGGTGGGTCCCGAGAGAAGTTGGTCGCCGCCCTCAGAGGGATGTCCCGCAGTGCCGTCCCAGCACCGCTCAAGAGACACGGTCGTTAGGGTCAAGGCGCAAGGCTGTACAAGGAACATCGAATGGACGTACATTCGGGTGGAGACGGGAGGCAGCAGTGGCATAATGAACTGAACTTCGTGTAGTTATTATCTACACTAAGAGACTTAATATTCGGAAGACCATTATAAAAGGTAAAGTTGTCCCTCTGTGGAATTAATTAAGCACCGTGCTACGAAGACATGGGGGGGGGTGGAGGTATAGCTCCACCATCTTTGAGTTTGTTACTGGATAGAGGTGGGTGGTCAGCTTCACGCCGTGGTCGCTTTATCCCCGGGTAAAAACCCCTTGTACCCATTGGATAGGTGACTTAGTGGGCCTCAGCCAGTCTGTACGTTTTGGAGTTGAGAAAATCTTGTTCTTCCCGGGAGTCGAACCCGGCCGTCTAACCCTCAGTTATACCGGCAGAGTTGTTACGGTAGACTATTGTTGATTGCTGAGTTCGTAAGTTATGAAGTGATCGCATAGCATTACTTGTTTCCGTAATCGCAAGACCAACAGAAAATAGTATATTGGGCGCAATATATGTGCTCTGTTTCGCATTACAACTATTCTTCCAAACATTTCATGCCGAGAAACGTTTTAGCGAGTTACATTCGAAGTGTGTGCAGAAATGCATATCGGTTTTCTTGTAAGGCGTACAAAGGGACGAACTATTTTAATAGGCGCTGCCCAGGGTTGCGATAATGCATATTGTTTGTAGTCGAGAGAGGTACTCTGTTCGAATCTCGGTCATTGTCTCTGTTATGCATAAGATTTTTTTGTCAGCTTCATACTAAATTGTTTTTTACATTCCTATTGTACTCCTTAGTTGATACATACTGTATAATCATTGGCACTTTTTGAGCCATGTCCTTTCGTAGAAAGTTTTGCTAGATTTGATTCGATTTTCACTTCAGATTTCAGAACAGTAATTCTTTTACTGACCAAGGTCGTTGGCCTTGCGTCCAACCCCTAACCTGGAGGACCAGGTCCCTGTGTTTATGGCCCCCAGCTGCAGGGCGGCCCATTTATACCCCCAGGTAGCAGGTTCCCTTTTCTTCGCCTTCTGCGACTTGCCCGGCTGCGGCCGAAGTATTCTGACCCACCTGCACACGAGGATTAGTTGATAATACATCACTCTCAAATAAACATGGACCAACTCTTACACGAGGCCGCGCCATAGCTCAAGCGGTTAGTCGCTGGCTTTCCACCACGGCGGCCCGGGTTCGATCCCGGGTCTGGTCAAGTGTGATTTATGGTGGACAAAGTGGCGCTGGGGCGGGTTTTCTCCGAGTACTTCGGTTTCCCCTGCCAATCTTTATTCCACC